AGTTTTCAAGAAAAAAAACTGGGAGGGTTTAGCTGAAAAAATCAGTGYCTGATTGTCTTGATGGAAATGGGTCCAGTCCCAGCTGTCTTACAGGGGAAGAGCTTTGGTTGTTAATAACCTGGCTGCTTCGATGCTCTGGCACCGAACAACGGTATTGGAACCTCCCACGGCACTAGTAAAAGAAATACAAAAAAAACTTGTTGATTTTTTCTGGGGTGGTTGTCACTGGATCAGATCTTCAGTTCTGTTCTTACCAAAGGAGGAAGGGGGACAAGGACTGATTGGACCTTCAAAGTCGAATTACAGCTTTCCGTCTCCAAACTGTACAACATCTTCTATATCATGAAAAGAACCTTTGGGCAGAAACATCTGCGGCACTGCTTAAAAGAGTGGAAAACCTATCCTATGACAAGCATTTTTTTTACTTTTTACTTGCAAAAAAAGTGCATTTAGCATGATATGTCTCCTTTAAATGAAATGGACATATCACAGACATCAGAGTTTTATAAATCGGTGCTTCATGCATGGAGATCTACCCTGAAAGCGAGAAGAGACTCTGCTCAGCTATATAGGACTGTGGGAGAAGAACCCATTTTTCACAACTCCGTTATAAAGAGCAGATTATCAGTACTCAACTCTGGTATGGTGAAGAGAACATTTGTAAGATCCAAGCTGACAAAGTTAGCAGATCTGAGAACAAATGGCCAGTGGAAATCTGCTGACACATTGAGCCAAGAAACGGGGATTAAATCATTACGTTTTATTGAACAACTGCTTGGAGAACTGATTGGTGGTCTCCCTAGTTTTTTTCAGGGGAGCTTTGGAGAAGGAGTCTGAAGAAGACCAGCAGACTTTACAGCTGAAATTTCCACCTTTGTCAGTCTGTGCTGTAATGAAGGAGCTAATGGAAAGAAAATAAACTTTTCTGGCTTTAAAGCCCCCTGTAGCAAAGAATTTTCATAAGTTTTTGAGAAAGGAGTTATATTTAGTGTCTGTAAACGTCTTGAATGAAGAATCTCTGATCGGTGTTGGTGGGTCGAAGTGGTCTGGTGTGTTGGCACCTGTGCCTTCCCCTACAGACAGCTGGAGGTCCCTGTACAAGTCTCCAATAGAAAAGTGTGTTACAGATCTGCAGTGGAGGATTGTGTATGGGGCCGTGGCCACAAACAGACATGTGGCACGATTAGACCACAGATCAGGAAGTCAGTGTTTATTCTGTCAAACTGAAGAAACTTTGCAGCATTTTTGGTTCGCCTGTGCTCGACCCTGTCCACTTTTTAACTTGTTGAAGCGGATATGTACAGGGTTTGATTATGTTTTAAATGACAGGTTTTTTTTTTTTCATTTTTGGACCAAAGTACTTTGTAGCACAGAGGGGAAGGATTTGTTTGATAAACATTTTGTTTGGTCAAGCTAAAATGAGCATTTGGCTTACAAGGAGAAATAAAATGAAAGGAGCGCGTTCTGTTAATGTTGAACTAATGTTTAAAGCTCTGCTAGCAGCACATTTAAAAGTAGAGTGTACATATTATACAGTGATTTCAGATATTGATAAGTTTGTGTCTATCTGGGGAACAAACAATGTTTTATGTTGAGTTTCTCAAGGCTCACTAAGTCTTTGTTTAAAAAAATGTGTATTTTGTTTTTATATTTTATATGAAATGTCCTAGAAAAAGGATGCGTTAAAAGTCAAAAGTCTCTCTCTCTCTCTCTCTCTCTCTCTCTCTCTCTCTCTCTCTCTCTCTCGCAAACTATTTGAAAGGTAACGAATCTTTGCAGTATTGGTTTCTTTACATAATAACTTTAATTGCTGGACATTCAGCCCCTCAGCTGTTGGCCTGCAGTAACTGTGGCCCCAGGAGAAATTTAGTTGATTAGCCCTGCTCTAAGCATTAATTGTCTAAATGTTTATTTTAGAATTTCCAGGCGTGATTGGATGCATAGATGGCACTCAAATTCCTATCACTGCTCCTGCATGAAAAGGAAATCCTTCCACAGCATCAATGTACTGGTAGGCCTGAATAGCGAAGCAATCTAAATCTAACTGACATTGTGATTTACTAACTGTATATTAGTACTGTGAAGATCATACGTGATACAACCTAAATTATCAGTAATGTGGAAGCCAAGCGGCCTGGGTCTGTGCATGGCTCACATATACTGTGAGACTATTCCGAGTGCCAAGCTTGCCTGTGGTGAGTTTGTTATATCTATGTATCATATTTAATTAAACCTTTTCCCCCCTATGCATATAAGAATGTAAAATGTGTCATTTTATGATTCTAGGAGAGTACAACAGCTACCATCTGGGGACAGAGGTTACCCTTGTCAGCCCTATCTGTTGACCCCATACCCGGAGCCAGAGCCTGGACAGCAGCAACATTATAATGTCGCTCACAGCAGGACATGAGCCAGGGTGGAGATGACCATTAGTATGCCAATTTCTGGGTCAGCCCAGGGAGAGCTGGACATCAGAGTGGCTTGTGTTATTCTTCATAACAAAGCCACCATTAGAGGTGAGAACTGCCCCACTTATGACAGAGTTCCAGAGGAAGATGTGCGCCACATTTCTGATATGAGATGACAGAGCAGTTAGAGATGCAGTATGTTTGAACAACTTCTGAAAACCACAGTGCTTTAGTTTCATCTATTTTTTATTGCCTGCAAGTGAAAATGCAAGAGTTAACATTTTGCTAGAAAATTAAACTCTGCCACTGCCGTGATCCCCTCACCCACATTTAACTGATGCTCCAGCACTTGTATTTCTAGTTAAGTCTTCTCTATTTACATTTGTAGGTGTTCTTTTTTGATTGCACAGGTTTCGATTTTTTCCTTCAAGTACAGTTTGTATAGCCGTTTCACAGGAAGCTTTAGGGACAGAAAAATGTTAATGTTTGTTCTGATCACTTTTTGAAAGAATACTTTTCAGAATTTGATAGGTAAAATTTTGATGTTTGGTGAAACTGTTACATGTTWAACAAAAGGGAATCAGTAAGATAACATTTAAGAAGCACTTTATTTTCTGGAAAAGTTGATCAATATAACAGTTTTGAGTAGGTAGGACCCAAGAATGCACACAGGTTCTATGAGCTAAAAAAAAAGAAAAACGTTTTTTTTTTTTTTTTTTAAGTGAAAAAAAAAGGCTGACATGGTACACTGCAAAAAACTGTCTCTCTTACCAAGTTTTAAAATCTTATATCCAGCCAAAAAGTCGTTTTGATCTTGTTTTGAGACTGATTTACTAAACAAGAACTGATTGTGTAAGAATAATAATCTTGTTTTCAGAATGTGTTAGATTATTTGTCTTGTTAGTCTGAAAATTTGACTCAAATTAAGTCAAAGATTTCTGCCAATGGAGTAAGAAAATTTTACTTGGTAAGATTCTTGAAATACTTGATTTGACTCAATTTTTTTCTTTTCAAGAATCTTACCAAGTAAAATTTTCTTATTCTATTGGCAGAAATTTTTGACTTAATTTGAGTCAAATTTTCAGGCTAACAAGACAAACAATCTGACACATTCTGAAAACAAGATTATTATTCTTACACAATCAGTTCTTGTTTAGTAAATCAGTCTCAAAACAAGATAAAAACGACTTTTTGGCTGGATATAAGATTTTAAAACTTGGTAAGATGGATATTTTTTGCAGTGTACACAATTTACATAACTGACCAACATTCACAAGACTCGAGTAGATACAAACAGGCACAGGTGGACTGGATGTGATATAAAACAAAGACTGGTGAGCAAAATGAAACTGACTGATTATAAAGACTGACACTGATGAGAAGATTGTCTGCAGCTGTGACTTGAAAGATGTTTGACCAGTCRTGGCAGGTTGACTGACGAAGCAGAACCTGACTGAGGAGAAATGAGTGATGGCTCTAATGAGCAAACATAAACTAAATCAACAAAATCTCAAGGGACAAGGGTGGCTGTGGTGCTGTGGTAGGACAGTCAGTCTGTGACCAGAAAGTCACAGGTTTGATCCCCCGCCAAGTCATGGARTCCTTGAGCATAACTCCTAGTCCCTCCGCTCCATGCAGAGCACACATTTTGTCCTGGTACATGCATTGTTGACAATACATAGCACAATACATAAATAAGCACAATAATTGCAAAACACAGAAAATGAAATTGAAATAAAAAGAAACAAACAATACTAATATATAAAAATAAAAACTCACAAAATGTGCAGATCATTTAAAGTGTTTAAAAAACAACAAAATATCAGTTTTATTAGGAATATGCAAGACTAGATGTAAATATACAGATTTAAAAACAATATATCAAAAGCTATAAAAATTTATTTTAAAGGTACTTTTTTTTTCTACAAACTTTTTTTTTTGCTTTGTGAGCCATATGGGTTCTTCACTTAGACATACATCCTGTAAATAAATTAGCTGTTTTTTAACTTATTTTCCCATTCAACAATGTTGCAATAGATAAGTTATTCTAGTAAAAATGTGCAAAGCTCACTTAAGCTTGACTTCGGGCATCTTATTTTAGAGTGCTGTAGATCACACTGTTTTCTGGTGCTGCAGTCTATAAAACAAAGAGACAGGACATGACCCACATAGACCCAAAGCTTTTGCTTCACTGACAGATAAATGACGTACAGTATTTTGTGGCTTCTATGAAACTGAAGTCAAGTATATTTGTACCATTTGAGCCACATTGTCATATGTGTTGATGTTGCTGTATATCTCACTTCCTGGGTGGATTTGCTCCTGCTGGAGAACATAAAACAAGAAAAATTGTTTTAGTTATGAAAATTTTCAAATTCAGAAACAGGACCAGGAGTACATGTATCGTCAGTTTAGCTTTTAGAGTTTTTTTTAACCCAATCAAACAAAAACAGACATGATTGTTCACAATGTTTACCTGAATCAGTTGAGGTTGCGTTTGAACAATAGTGCTGTAGAAAATTTCACAATCAGCAGGAGTCTGGGGTTCCTTTGAAAGATGAATTTACAAAAGCAACATCCGATTACTAAAATTTAAATATTGTGTGCTGATAGCTTTATAGTCAATTACATATGTGAATTGACTTCATACTTGTTACCTGACAACAAACACACACACACACACACACACACACACACACA